AAATGAACAGGCATTTCTCAAACAAAGAAGTAAAAGCAGCAAATAAATACATGAAAAATGTTCAACATCACTGTTCATTCGAGAGATGCAGATGAAAACAATACTGAGATTGCACCTCACCCCAGAAAGAATGGCTTGCATCAAAAAAATCAACCAATAACAAATGTTGGCTGGGATGTGAAGAGAAAGGAACTCTTCATTGTTGGTGCAGACTGGCGCAACCACTGTGGAAATCAATAAGGAGATACCTCAAACAACTAAGATTAAAAGTTCCATTTGACCCAGCTATTCCCCTGCTGGGTATCTTCCCAAAAGAATTAAAGGAACATAGCATAGTGATATATGCTCACCCATCTCACCCATGATTATAGCAGCACAGTTTCTAACAGCTAAAACTTGGAAACAGACTAATTGCTCATCAACTGGAGACTGGATAAAGGTGTGTGTGTGTGTGTGTGTGTGTGTGTGTGTGTGTGTGTGTGTTACATAAAATGGAGTACTACTCAGCCATAAAGAAAGAGGAACTAGAGACATGTATAGCTAACTATATGCACATTGAGGATATACTCGTAAGTGAAATTAATAGGACATAAATGTGTAATTACCATTTTATCTGGTATGATAACCTAAAAATGTAAATAAGATCCAAATTGTATAACTGACAATGTGAAATAGGAAGAAAAGGGCTAAAGGTGTAGGGGAAGTGGGAAGGGTAGGGGAAACCTAAGAAGGGAAAAGAAAAAATATGAGAGAAGGAAAAAATGGAAACAAAGTCTTTGTAAATAGGGGAGGATGGAGGGGGTGAAGGGAGGGCACAGGTATAAGTAAAAAATGAGAACCAAGGTCTGTCATGTAAATATATAAGATCCCAATGATGAATGTAACTGTATACTTAAAAAGTACCAGTAAATTCAACAAAAATACATTTTTGGTTTAAAAAAACTTTTACATGTTTGTATCATAAAGAAGATTTTTTTCTAAAATAAAATGACTAGATGGTTTCAAAGAGAAAGGGTCAAGTAAAAAAGTTACATTAAGTCAAAATAAGTGAGTGGGAGATAAAACTTACTTAAAAATTTATACCTGTGATTGTACTGGATATAATTTTTAACATTTTCAGCCTTCTAACAGTCTATTCTTAAGAGTATGACCTCAATATGCATCCATTTTCCTATGAATGACTCCAGTTTCTCATTCTTCATGGCTGAGTAGTATTCCATTTTATAGAAAAACCACATCTTCTTTATCCAGTCTCCAGTTGATGGGCAAATGGGCTGTTTCCAAGTTTTAGCTATTACAAACTGTGCCACTACGAACATGGGTTCATATATATCACTGCGGTATGATTCTTTTAATTCATTTGGAAAGATACCCAGCAGAGGCTTAGCTGGGTCAAATGGCACCTATTATCCTAGTTCTTTGAGGTATTTCCATAACTGATTTCCACAGTGGTTGGAATGGATGCATACTCTTAAGTGAAATAAATAGGACACGTGTGTAAATACAGAAGAGCTTCTCTGGTGTGGGAAACTGACAGTGTAGATAGGGATCAAAATGTATAATAGATAATGTGAAATAGGAAGAAAAGGTCCAAAGGGGAAGGGAAAGTGGGAGGGGTAGATGAAAGGAAAGAAGGGAAAGGAATAACTATGAGAAAATGAAAAAAATGGAAACAAAGTCTTTGAAAATGGGGTGGGGGCATGGAGGGGTTGAACAGAAGGCAGGGGAATGGAAAAAATAAGAACAAAGATATATCCTGTAAAGATACAAATTTTCAGCAATGAATGTCAGCATTTTGTATATCTAAAATGTACAAATAAAATTAATGAATGAAAAAAATTACTTCTAAGAGACTAACCTTGATGCACCTGGAAACTAAAATATAATAATCTGCCCTTAAAAATTGATTTGTTGTGAGTAATTTAAAATCACACTCAGGAAAAAAAATATTTTGTAGTCTGGTAAGATAATTTCTTGTGTTTTCTGATGTTCTTATTTGTTTTAATTTTTAAAAACCCTACATCAAAAACTGGGTCTATATGTGTTTGCATTTACTAAATATATTTTCACATATATTAGGTAGTAAATCCACTTGTGGTCATTAATAAACATTGTGTGCTCTAAAAATGTACCAAAAAATAAAAAGGAAGGGGACCAAGAGACGGATGCAGGGAGGGGGGGAAGAGAAAGGAACTAACAAAGGAATTTAGATGTACTATGTACTGTCAGCTTCCCACAGGAATGTAAACATAAACATGTACTAATAAAGAAAATGATCTAAAATATAACTGTTATCTGTGACCAAAGCAATATTCACATTTAATGTTCTTTACCCAAGTCCAACAACTTTTTTTTCAGTGCTAATTCAAAATTAAAGCCCATTTCATAGAAGACAAATCAATTCACTGACACTTTCATTTGCCTGTATGGAAAATAATACATGATGCTGGGGAGTCGTAAGCTACATTAAAGGGTGTAAGCCAGTGAGACAAAAAAACTCCCACAAGAACCAAATATAGTACACAAATGATGGGTTTGATCCAAGTGAGACTTAATGTACAAATGAGTAAAAGTTTTCTTTTGGTTTTTTGTTTGTTTGTTTGGTTGTTTGTTTTTTGTACTGGGGGTCGAACTTAGGCCCTTGCGCTTGTGAGGCAGGCACTGGAACCACTGAGCTAAATTCCCAGCCTGAGTGAAAGTTTTATAAGTAGTGTGAATAGAGACAAGTGTGAGAGAATTGAACTGAATAATTTCAGAGCAAATGCTCCAAAAGACAAGTTGTCATAAAGAAACACACGTGTTACATATATTTCAGCTTTGTGCGTGGAAGCTTTACACAGTTGATGTGTAACAGTAAGTAAACAATGAAGATCCGTTTGTAATCCCAGTATTAGGGGAGGCTGAAGGAGGAAGATCACAATTTGAAGCCCAGCCTGGGCAATTTAGCAATTCAGCAAGACCTTGTGTCCAAATCAAAATTTAAAAAGGGATGGAGATGCAGCTTAGTACAAAGGCCCTGAGTTCAATCACTAATCCTAGTGGAAAAAAGAGAATGCAGAAATTTTGTTCTCTTTTGTTCAGAGAGTGCAGGTGCTAGAGTGTTTCTGGTGTCCTTGAAACAGTGTGGATTCTGAAACAAGAGACTGGTTATTACCATAAATCTCCAGCATGGTTTATTATGAGCTCTGAATCACATTCTCCCAAGTTAAACTGAGAAAACAAGAATTTTTTGGAATTACTAAGTTCCTAATGGCTGCCTTGTGGTTATTATTGCTCCTCCAAAGGTGAATTCTCTAATGAATGCTTTAAAAAGCAGTCCTTCCTTCAAGGGAGCTGAAGGCAACAATTATATTCAGTTTACATCTAATTTGGAGATGGAAATGGAGGATTGCCCCTCGAGTCCTCTCTATGGCTAATAAAATTAGAACTTACATCAATTTCTCAGAGGCTGTGAACAATAGGTATTAAACTATCTACCGTTCTCGATTCTGAACTCATAACTCTTTTACCCATTGCAAAGGACCCTTGAACTCTAGAGAGGCTCTACCTATTTGACGGCGTCCTATGCCTTTAGAGAGAAGTGGAAGCATCTTCCTGTGCCTTGTAGTTGGTGGTATCTGCGCTGAACATCTAAGGGACAGTGTCAGAGCAGGAGCAGAACTTGTATTCCGTGATATACAATGTGTGTCACTTTTTGTGTGTGTGTGCACGCATGTGCCCAGTGCGAGCTACTGATCCCTAGATTCTATCCTGCTTGAAAGCAGAGTGTGATAGACAGCTGTGTGTAACTGACCTTGATTTGAGATTGTATCTAAATTTTGAAAGCATAGGGCAAAGCCCAACCTCCACGTTAATACTTTTATTATCTCTGACTGATTCTATAATGAATTCTCCAGAGGATAGTGAAAAATATCTTTCTTTGGTATCTTTTCCTCCAAACAGTCTTGTTGATTTTCTTATGAATTTTATACCAAATCTCTACAAGTTTCTTCATATCTCCTGCCACAGTCTAGATGTAAGCAGATATTATTTTGCATGTAAGTTACCACAATAACTTCATATTATTCCTGCTGTCAATCTTGTCTTGCTGTATTCTGACATCTACCCAGTAGACAACAAGATATTTAAAATTTTTGGTCACTTCTAATATTAAACTGTTTCTTTAGTGAACTATTGCTTTGGGAATAGAATAAAAACTTTCTTACTCTGTCAGAAGAAATCTCATGTAGTCTGGCTTTTAATAATTCTCCAACTTGATCATCTTTGCTGGGATGACCAGAGCCTTAAATTTCCTGTTCCTCAAGTGCCCTAGCTCTCTCTCTTATGCAGACATTTAATTAGAGTGTCCACTTTTATAATCTTCATAGGAAAGGTTCTTGTATTTAGGATTTCCTTTTTACATTTTTGTTTTTGTTTTGGGGATTCCTTTTTTTCTTTTTTGTAGCACTGAGGGCCTTTGCACTGAGTTATACTCTCAGCCCCTTTTAAAATTTTTATTTTGAGATTAGGTCCCCCAAGGCACTAAGTTGCCCAAGTGAAGGCTAAAACTTGTGATCTTCCTGTCTCAGCCTCCCATGGTGCTGGGATTATATGCAAATTCCCCCATGTTCAGTTTCTGGACTCCTTTTAAAGAACACAGCAGAAGCTACTTCATTATCACATTAGGCTTTTGTATATCCAAATAATGAACAATATATTTGGTTACAATGAATAATATATTTGAATTTCTAATCTCAGTATTGTGAACTCCTGGCCTCCTCAAGTTTGATGGTCTGGTCTGATGATTAGGCAGATTTTTTTGTAGGATCTTTAGGGGGATAAACGACATTCCATACCATCACTAGCCCATCACTAGCTCATGGGTACAGCAAAACCTTGTGGTATTCAGAAATATAATCATATAATGACTAGTTCAAAACCAAGTTGTACAGTGGAATAGTTACAATTACTTCTCATTAGTATTTCCATCTCTGTTTTCATCTGCAGAAAATGAGGAGAGCATGACATGGAATAATCAGAGCAGTGTGTCTGAATTCACGCTCTTGGGGCTGCCCATCAGCCCAGAGGAACAGGGCATGTACTATGCCCTGTTCCTGGCCTTATACCTCACCACAGTGCTGGGGAACCTGCTCATCATCCTGCTCATCAGGCTGGACTCCCGCCTCCACACTCCCATGTACTTCTTTCTCAGCCACTTGGCTTTCGCTGACATCTCTTTGTCATCAGTCACAGCTCCAAAGATGCTCATGAACATGCTGACTCATAGTCAATCCATCTCATATGCTGGGTGCATTTCACAGGAATTCTTTTTCTTATTATTTGGTGATCTTGACAGCTTTCTTCTCACCTCAATGGCCTATGACAGGTATGTGGCCATCTGTCACTCCCTGCACTACACCACCATCATGAGTCAGAACCTCTGTTTCCTGCTAGTGATTGGGTCCTGGACCTTCTCTACTACCATTGCCCTTCTGCACACTCTTCTCCTACTCTGCCTGTCTTTCTCTAGAGAGAACACTCTCCACCACTTCTTCTGTGACCTCTCTGCCTTACTTAAGTTGTCCAGCTCAGACACCACCATCAACAACATGGTCATCCTCACTGTAGGAACTGTGGTTATAACTGTGCCATTCATGTGCATTCTGGTGTCTTATGGCCACATTGGGGCCACCATTTTGAGGGCTCCTTCAATAAAGGGAATCTGCAAAGCCTTGTCCACCTGTGGCTCTCACCTCTGTGTGGTTTCTCTCTACTATGGATCAGTTATTGGGATCTACTTTTTCCCCTCATCCAGTAACACTAATGACAAGGATGTCATTGTGGCTGCATTGTACAGTCTGGTCACACCCATGCTGAATCCCTTTATCTACAGTCTGAGGAATCGGGACATGAAAGGTGCTGTGGGAAAGATATTCAGTAGAGCAACCTTTTCAGGGTGATGGGAATTGCCCTTCCTTAATTAACTAGATATGAGATCTTGTCAATCTCACGCATACATCCTTTCCTCTCTGGTTTACTGTTTAGTGACTGTTGATGTGGTGCTTTCTTTGTTTATTTTTTTTAGCTTGTCCTTAACCAAGGATATAGTTTTTCCTCTCTGTGTTGTATTATTGATTTGAGAGTGTTGAGATAGTTTTTGGAAGCCTATCTGTTTAACTTCATTTAACTATTAGTTTGGTATCTTTGTCTTTTAAACAGATTTTATGCTCTACTTTTTAGCATTTCATGTATCTTATTTATGTGAAAACTTAACGTGTTAGGATTTTATTATATTTCACCTAAAATTATCCTTATTTCTTTTTTTTTCTCATTGAGTTTATTAGTACATTTTAGGTATACAGTACAGTTCCATTCATTTTTGGGATCTTCTACCTTTACATGACAGATCTTGGTTCTCATTTTTCCTCCATATCCCTGCCCTCCCTTCACACCTGCCTCCCTTCCCTATTTACAAAAACTTTGTTTCTATTTTTTCATTTTCTCATATTTTTCCTTTTCCCTTATTCCTCTTCCCCTACCCTTTCCACTTCTCCTATACCTTTAGCCCTTTTCTTCCTGTCCTTATTTCTCCAAGGGAGATTTTATGCTTTTTAAAATATCTCACAGCCTTTTTCAAAAAAGTAAAACTTTTTGGTCTCACAATAAATTTTTTCCGTGTGTCATGTTTTTATATTTGTGTTTAATTTTCTAATAAATTTTGAATTAATTTTTATTAGTAACCTTGATAACAATTTTTGCTTATAACTTCTTATTTAATAACAAAATTTTATATATTACTGTGTACCGTGTAATATTTTGATGCATGTATATATTGTGTAATGTACAAAGGTAAAAAAATCACTTCCTTAAATATATGTCATATTCTTTTCCGATCAAATCATTTAATATTCTTTCTTAGAGCTTTTTTGGAATACACAGTATGTTTTCATTATCTTTAGATGTGTAATATGTAATAGAACAGCAGAACTAATTTGTTTTATTTAGTGTCTTATTACCCATTGACAAACCTTTCATCAAATATCCCTCCTTTCCCTGGATCTCTACATCTGGTTATAATTTATTATGTACTCTTCAATGTTTTAAAAATTTGCATTTTTAGACTAATGGCAACTAATTAGTCATTCAGACCGCCTCCCCTCAAAACTGATTGGGCCTGGTCAAAATCAAAATTAGATGGCTTTCTGTTATTTTTTTCCACACAGGACCTCAGTGTGTAGTCCAGGCTAGTGTTGAACTCATTATATGTAGCCCAGGCTGGCCTCACACACATAACAATGCTCCCTCATTTTCCCCTTGAGTTCTGAGATTATAAGTGTATGCCACCATGTCCAGCAAGATTGCTTTCTGTAAATGAGCAGGACAGTGGTTCAGACAGACAAAATGCATGACCCAAGTGGTGACTAAGAGCTTGATTGTTTCAGCCAATCTAGGTCCTAGGCAGGTCAGGTGGATGTGAAGCACAACAGTGAGAGTAGAGGTTGTTCAGGGCCTTCCAAGTGGTACAGTGACTGTGGGTGATCAGTCCATTCTGATAAGGAGGCTCAGCTTCTTCATCTCTGGGCTATAGAATAGCCAGGCAAGATGTCAGGAGCACAGGCAACCTGAACTGAGTTTAAGCAGGACTTCAGTGTAGTTTAATCTAAGCCCTTTTTATTTTAAAATGAAAAATAAAATGTAGTTCTCTACTTCTCAAGGCAAAAAACAACAACAAAACCAAAAACTTGACTTCCATGCTAGAAGATGGTCACTGTCATAGATATTTTCACATACGTTATTTAAATTAGTTCTAGTCTTTGTTAAAAAGGTGGAAATTCTAATTAAGAGGGGATTAGTCCCTCTCTCCATGTTACTAAGCTAGCAATATTTAATAGAAGTAGTTCTCAAACTACTTCTGAGGTCAAACTCTGAGACCTATACACCACCTGGATAGTTTTTCAAATCCCATTTTATTGGAAAATTTGCTTCCATCTTTATAAAAATGTTAACATACAAAGTAACATAAATATACAGTTGATATGTGTACACATAATGTTTTACTTATATATGTGCATGTGTTCATATATCTTTGGCATATAAATACATTTAAAATATTAAAATCAATAATGATTTAAAATCTATGGGCTTAAATAATGAACAAATAAAAATATTTTTGAAGCTCTTTAGTCCCTCTTCAATTGAATCTTCGTCTTCAAGATATCCAGACTCTTGAGTATTGTCAATAATACTTTGCTTTTTCTTTGCATTTTAACCCTAATTTGATCCTTCAGTTTTGCCCGATGTAGAACTGAATGTGAAGGAAATTAAGTTACATTTATTCTACTACAATTTGCTTTAATTATCCACTAGTGTCCTTGTGGAATACATTTATATATATTCATACTTCATATGTGAGATTATAACACATTTATTGGTTCTAATTTCAAGCCCTTTCTTTCCTTAGAGCATTTTGCTATTATGAACAGTGGTGGTTCAAACATTTTTGTCTGTGCATCCAATGTATATATGTAAGAGATGCTGTAAAGTATATAACCAAAAGTCACAAGGTACATTATGAATATTTATAATTTTTTTCATTGTTTATTGGTATATTTAGGCATACAATACAGTTACATTGACCAGTGGAAATTTGTACCTTCACATGATGTATCTTGGCTCTTACATTTTCCACATTCCCTTGCCCTCCCTATATGAGAAAAGGAAAAAACTAAATGTTTACTATTTTCATTTGTTATTTAAAATAAATAATAAGAATATGAAAGAAAAATAAAGATATGCCATATTTCTTATTAATGTTACTAGCAAAAATAATTTTCAAATATATTATAATATGACATTTTACACACAAGTAAAATCATAAACCTAGCAGAAGAGAAAAATCACATTGAGTAATGTAAAAAAACTTTGCTACAAAAGTTCTGTACATTATTCAATAAAAAGAACTATATGTGACTACACATAAAATGAAAACTTTTATAGAAGGAAAACGTGTGAAAGGGAGAACACAAGAAAAGGTAATTATACAAGTATATTTGTAAGAACCTTTCTCAAGACTCCAAATCAATGGGAAAAATAGAAAAACTATGTTTAACATGAAACACAGAGGTAAAAAACAACAATTCAAAGAAAGGATGTTTATGCATCATTGGGAAGGTGTCATAGCCAGATACTGGGAACTACAATGACCATTACAATGAAAAATTTCCTCTACTAATCAGATTTCCCAGAGCACCTTTCATACCCCGATTCCTCAGACTGTAGATGAAGGGGTTCAGCACTGGTGTGACCAGACTGTACAAAGCAGCTACAATGACATCTTTGTCATTAGTGTTACTGGATGAGGGGACAAAATAGAGACCAATAATTGCTCCATAGTAGAGAGTAACCACAGAGAGATGAGAACCACATGTGGATAAGGCTTTGTAGATTCTCTTCATGGAGGGAGCTCTCAGGATGGTGGCCCCAATGTGGCCATAAGACACCAGAATGCACAAGAATGGCAAGGTAATACCCATTGTTCCTACAATAAAAATAACCAGCTCATTGATGGCTGTGTCTGAGCTGGACAGCTTAAGTAAGGCAGACAGGTCACAGAAAAAGTGATGGAGAGTGTTGTCTCCATAGAAAGACAGATGGGCTAGGAGGAGCGTGTGCACAAGGGCAGCAGCAAAGGACAGGAACCAGGATGCAATCACTAGCAAGGAACAGAGGATATGACTCATGATATTGTTGTAGTGGAGGGGATGACAGATGGCCACATACCTGTCATAGGCCATGGAGGTGAGAAGAAAGCTGTCAAGACTTGCAAATAATACAAAAAAATATACCTGGAAAATGCACCCAGTATATGAGATGGATTGACTTTGAGTGAGCATATTCATGAGCATCTTTGGAGCTGTGGTTGATGAGAAAGAGATGTCATTGAGAGCCAAGTGGCTGAGGAAGAAGTACATGGGGGTGTGGAGGCGGGAGTCCAGCCTGATGAGCAGGATGATGAGCAGGTTCCCCAGCACTGTGGTCAGGTACAGGACCAGGAACAGGGCATAGTACATGCCTTGCTCCTCCTTCCTGATAGGGAGCCCCAAGAGGATGAATTCAGACACACTGCTCTGATTATCATTCCTCATGCTCTTTCTTCTCTATTATGCTGAGGATACAAAAAGGTAATAGACCTGTGAAAAAAATGAGAAGTCATTGTGACTATTACATATAAAAACATGGTTTGAAACTTGTGTATACCCGCAAATATCAATCTGAATGTGTCAGGCTTTTCACCAAAAAGTGGGTTAGTGATGATTTAGAGAAAGGACATTATTTGTCCACTTGAAAACCAAGCCAACATTCTTTGAAGAAACATGAAATTACTGAATGACCATCAGATCAGACCAGGTTTATACTTGAAGAGTTTCAGGATTTTTTACTGAATCTGTGATTAAGGAGATTGACACAAGGACAGGTTGGTATCAGTTAATAGAAAACCAATAGGTGATACTCTTAAGTGAAATAAATAGGACACACACATGTGTAAATATGGAATAGTTTCTCTAGCATGAGAAAATAAAAGTGTAAATAAGGACTAATATGTGTAATAGATAAGGTGAAGTAGGAAGAAAAGGGGTAAATGAGAAAGGGAAGTGGGATGGGTAGGGGAAAAAGAAGGGAATGTAATTAATATTAGAAAATGAAAAAAATCAAAACAAAATCTTTGTAAATATGGTGGAGTGGAGGGGGTGAAGGGAGGTCAGGGGAATGGGGAAAAACAAGAACTATAATAGATTATGTAAAGGTACAAAATTCCAGTGATGAATGTCATTATATTGTATACCTAAAATGTACCAATAAAATTAATTAAAAAGAAAAACAGTAGATAATTTCTAAGTGTTTACTAATGTCTCAAGTTTCCTTTGCCTGTGAAATACTCTTTTGCTAACACACTACTTAGAATGATTGAATTAAATTAAAAGAAACTATGGGATGTTTTGTGTCTGAAAAGTATCACAATGTGGAGATTTGGAGAATGAGTGTTCACTGGGTTAAAGAAGTGCTTTGAAAGCATGAATGTACAGCATAATATAAAATATCTAGACATTTACCTTGTAGTCAGCCTTTGGTTTTTCCTTTAAAAACATTCTTTCTTATCCAACATTTTCATCAGTTTTACAGTATGAATTTTCAAGGGCTTTGAAAAAGAGTCTGTTCATCTTTCAAATTTCCATCTTTTTATCACTTCTCTCTAACCAGATCGTTCCTATTGAAATCCTCAGAACAGTGGGGAATACTTGGCTTTTATATTCACATCAGGGTCTAAAAATTGAGAGGCCATTGTAAGTGTCTGATTTAGTATCCACAGATAATAACTTCTCTCTCTTGTGGCTCATATTCTAGGTGTTCTAATAAAGATTTTAAAATGTCATTTTTCTAGTCATTATTCTAAAATTCTAAATATTTTGGTAATTGTTTTTCTTTCCCTTCAACGTAGTTGGTCTAAACTTATCCATATTAAGAATTACTAAATAAAAGAAGAAAGAATTTGAGAATCTATCTGCTAAAATGGAGTACATAATGTATATAAAGACTTATTGTAGCTAATGTTTTTTGTATTTGAGAGCTGAGGAGATATCCCACTCCTACTCATCATTTGATTTGGGGTTAACTTTTAAATTTAGACAATGTACCAATTCTCCAAAATTTATTGATATTATTTCATAATTCCTATGTTTCTAATCCCACAATGTTGAAACTTTTCTTTATTTGATGGTAGTAAGGCATGGGTTTTATGCTCAGTGATGCTGCATATTTTCATGTTATGATCTATTAGTTGAGCATAAAACACATTGTTGGACATGTAGTCTGTTTTTAATATTTTGCTATATCCCCCAAATTGCAACAAATAACATTCTTCATGCATCAGCTTTTGTATTATACATATAAGGAGAAATTCTTAAATATTGATTTTGAGAGAATTTATTTCATAGTTTTGATAGATTGTCAAATTACAAGAAGATAGGGGGGCAAGGAAGCTTCTTTATATGTCTTATAGAGGGGAATCCTAAATCAAGAAGCTGTCACTGGAAGGATATAAATATGGGCACTCTAGTGAAGAGTTACAAGAAGATAGGGGGCAAGGAAGCTTAGTTATATGTCTTACAGAGGGGAATCCTAAATCAAGAAGCTGTCACTGGAAGGATATAAATATGGGCACTCTAGTGAAGGGTTTAGATACACAAGGCTGTGGCATTTGAAGAAAAGAGAAAACTCAAGACCATGGATGCCCTGAGAATATTTGGAAAGAATTATCAAAGAGCCAGATAATTACAGGGCCATTTGGGTTGTAGCAAAAATTTTCCAATTTTATTCTAAAGCATCACTACACAGATACAAATGTTTAAATAAAGACATGACTAAGAATTTTAAATAGCTTGTTGTTGTTTAGGTAAAGGTCAGATTATAGCAAGGGAAGAGAATCATCAGGCAACTGAATAAAACACTAATGTATTAGTAAATATAGAACCTACTTATAGCTACATTGTGACAGCAGAAAGGAATAAATGTAAAGATATTTGGTATAAAATTTGGAAGAAATGTCACAATACTTACCAGGGTTAAATATATTCAAAAGAAGATATTTTTATTTCAATATCTTTCTTAAACTTAATAAAAAATTAATTTCAGATAAATTATTCTAAAAGAGGAATTATTTTCTCTACCCACTCCATACAAGAAATGTAAACATGTTCTGCAAATATGTACTAAGAAAGAGGGGATAAAGGAGCAGATGGAGGGAGGAGGGAGACAAGAGAAAGGGAATAAAGAAGGAATTAAGATGTGTTATATATGCATACCAAATTCACACAAGTAATGCAAACATTCAGGTCCTAACAAAACAAAAACTTTATAAAAATTTAGATGAACAGTTCAATATGAATTATTTAAAATCAGCTTTCAATGATACATTCAGGTCCTAATAAAACAAAAACTTTACAAAAATTTAGATGAACAGTTCAATATGAATTATTTAAAATCAGCTTTCTTTCATACTGTGCATAGTACAATGGGCACTGTATCTAGGGATGAGTGTCACACAGTGGACAGACACATCCAAGCATAGTCATTCATATTTCTGAATGTTAAGTCTTCTATTCTGGTATGGTCTCTTAACTGGTGTGCCCAGCTATCTTTGGAAACAAAACATGGGAAGCTTCTTCAATTCCTCTCTAGAAGACATGCAACACAGAACAAAACCTTGAGTCATTAAGGACTGGACATTCCCCTGAAGCTTGCAGAAGAGCTCTCAGTTCAAAATTAAACCCAGCAGACATATCCATGTATATTTTGCCACAGCTCCTGAGAAACTGATGTAAGTTCTGATCTTACAAACCATGGAAAGGACCTGAAGGGCAATCTCTCATCCCCAACTCCAAATTGGAGGCAAATATAATTGCTTCTTTGCCTGGTTGGTTCTCTTGAGGGTAGAAGTACTTGTGGAAGAAGCCATTGGAGAATTTAATTTGGAGGAATAATGATAAGCAGGGGGAAATGAATAGGAATTGGTTGAATAATGAAGATTTTAGCCTTCTCAGTTAACCTTGGAGAAAATGAAGGTCAGAGATTTTCATAAAGAAGGTCAATTATTCAGTTGATAATCCAAATGCTTTTGTTCCAAATCCATTTCATTTATTTTAAAAAAGCTAAAACAAATTAATACTTTCATTCTCTGACTAAAAGAGTGAGCAAAAACTACTTATCATAGTCATCAATGGGCTCAGGGGAAGGAAATATAGCTGATATGAATCTGTCTCTTGTCCAGAAGCTGTCATTTGAGTATTCCATTGGTGCAAGATTCTCACAATACAATAGAATAGACATCCTATCCAGTCCTTCCATTCAACTTATACAAAATATATCCCAGTTCTATTGCTTATATCTCCAACCCATTTCCTCGCTCTCTACTTTAAAAAAATATATATATAGTGTTCATCAATCAAGTTGAAGTTGTATTAATACTTAGTAATATTCTTTTGGAGGCCTTTTTAGGTTAAAAACAATTTGTGTTTGGAATTACGATTTGGATGAGGAACTCCTGTAAGATATTTTGACATCAGGAATTCTTTCAGATCCTGTAGATCCCGTCTGTTCATGTGTTGCCCTGATGAAAATGCTACAATTGTCCTGTAGAATTGTTCTTATAGAAATCTAGGACTGACAGAATTTCCTCCTTACACCAAAGAACATCACTGTATCTACCTCTTTTCCCACATGTATAAAGATGACAATAAAATCCATTCTAATTTTTTTTAATTGAGCCAGGCACACATCATAATACCTCTTACTGAGGTAGTCGAATGCCTTGACTTCAGTGCCAGCCTGGGGTACATAGCTGAGTTCAAGTTCTGCCTGACATACAGAGCAAGACCCTGTCTCAAAAACATTTTTATTTGGTTAAACAATATGCAAAAGTATCTGTTCAAATCAGCAAATGACATTATTACTTCCATAGGTACCATATACCATTTCTTCAAACACCTTTGTGTTTATCCTCTTATACAAAAAGTTTCTCCCATTATTCTGAGCCTCATTTAGAAACAACCCTCTGCAATATATTATAATTTATCCATAAAGTCAATGGCATACATAAACTAAAGAATAGGCAAATAATATTCACAAGGATTTCAACAAATAAAATTTCAAATGGGCTAATATCCACCAAAATGATCAATCTTGACATAATCCTGGAGAGAATAATTAAAGCTTTAGTTACATCAAAATATAGATCAAGATATTAGAAATACAAGATTTCATAATTTTTTTGGTAGTGTTATATATTGATTGCAAGTCTTAATCACTTTTAATAAAGAAACAATCTCTAATTTTGAATTTCAGTTGAATATATGCATTTTCATGGATCATGATCTAATGTCAGCTTTATATCCCAGAGATACCTTGCATATACACAGCTACAGACAAAAGTAAGAAGACTAATAGCAATACTAATCACAGCAGCCTAAATAATAAAATACATTTCAAAAGCAAATAAGTTTTAAAACTTTTTCAATTTACAGGATAGAGCAATTACATATGCTATGTCACAGAATCTAAGAAATGTAATAATTGTACAAGAAGGACAACTTCTATGAGATAACAAACAAAAAGTAAAAGATAAATTTATAGCTATTACTAATTTTATAGACTGTATTTTGCATCCTTTAGCAAATATCTCCTTGTTGAAGCTCAGTATATTTGGAGATACTGCTTCTAAAGAAGGAATTGATATTGAATGAAATAATTAGGAGAACTAATATGGCAGGATTCCTGGCTTTATAACACAAGATCCCTCTTCTTTCTATTGTATTTTGACATGAGGACAAAGCAAGAAGGCAGCTATCTGACAACTATGAAGAGATTCCTCAATAAAACAACATATCAGCTAGAATATTAGACCTCTAAAACTGAGGGGAAATAAATTTCTATTGTTTAAGTAAAATAATCTCTGCTACATTGTTAAGAAATTCTAAATAATTTGTGATGTATTTGTACATATTCAAGTATAAATATCTATTTTACTGATAAATATTATTAGAAATAAAACTACAGAATTCAGTGGATTATTGTGCACAAAATTCTGACTAGCCATTTTCTATCATGGGAGAAATTGGAGTAATATGTAGATAGTTCAGGGGTAAATTTCTAATTTCAAATAATGCTTTCTTAAGTATTTCTTAAGGGAAGTATAACAATCAGACAGAAATGAGCAAATATGAAGAGAACATCATGAATTATCACAAGAGAAGCACATCTAGGTAGCTATAAGTTGGAAAAAGAAATAGTCTTTCATAATATTACTCCTAGTCATTTCCTCTAAATTCAAATACTATTATAGTGCTACAATTACTCAACTAGATTTTGCTTCACAAGCATGATATGGAATTAAAGTCTGTATTCTTATAAATTATATAACATAATTATATGCTCTGATACTAATTAATCACATAATTAATTTTACCAAATACACAGTACTCAAAGCATTAACATTGAACCATGCCCCTTCAACCCAGTGACACAGAGGAGCCCAGCTGCTGTGCTGCACTCTGGTAGGCATGCCCCTTCATCCCAGGAAGTCACAGGAGGTAGTGCCAATACAGAGGTGTATTGAACAAGCTACAGAAGGTCTCTCTGAGGCTCCTGTGATAAAGGCACACCACACCATCACAGTTCATAAGTCAGAGGGACCAGAACCTCACATCAGAATTCAGTCTAACTTTAGAGATTAAAAGCTCTATAAAGGTGTAGGGGAAGTGGGAAGGGTAGGGGAAAGGAAATAAGGGAAAAGAAAAGTAAAACATGAAGGAAAAAATGAATAAAGTATTTATAAATAGGGAAGGGAGGAGGGGGTGAAGGGAGGGCAGGGATAAGGGAAAAAAATGAGAACCAAGACCTGTCATGTAAAAGCACAAGATCCCAATGATGAATGTAACTGCACTGTACACCTAAAATGTACCAATAAACGCAATGAGGGAAAAAAAAACTCTATAGAAAGCATTCACAGCAGTATGAATGAATGTGAAGATAGAATTTCAGATATAAAAGATAGGATGTAGGTCAGTGACCATGAAAGGAGAGATCTCTTAAAAACAGTAAGGTACCATGAGCACAAGATCCCAATGATGAATGTAACTGCACTGTACACCTAAAATGTACCAATAAACGCAATGAGGGAAAAAAAAACTCTATAGAAAGCATTCACAGCAGTATGAATGAATGTGAAGATAGAATTTCAGATATAAAAGATAGGATGTAGGTCAGTGACCATGAAAGGAGAGATCTCTTAAAAACAGTAAGGTACCATGAGAAACCAATCCAACAACTCTTAGATGATGTAAAGAAGAATGTTATAAGACTGATATGAATCTTTGAAGTGTCAGGAGAAAGGAAAAATGACATAAAAAAACTGTTCACAGAATAAATGACAGAAAACTTCCCAAACAGAGGGGAAGAATTTGACATATCGATAAGGGAGGCATACAGTACTCCAATTAGTCATGATAAAAAAATCTACACCAGGACAGATAATAATCAAGATCCCAGAAATCCAACATAAGAACAAAATACCACAAGCAGTTTGAGAAAAGAAACAAATCACATGCAAAGGAAAGCCCATCGGAATTACAGCAGACTTGTCAACACAAACCCTCAGGTCAAGGAGAGCATGGAATGATATATTTCAAGTCCTAAAAGACAACAAACTCCAACCTAGGCTGATGTATCCTGCAAAACTTTCTT